ATAGGACAGTTATAAGATCAACAATGCTTTATGGATCATAATATTGGGTAACTAAAAAAATAACACGTGCAAAAATGAGTGTAGCAGAAATGAGGATGTTGAGATGGTCTTATTAGTACACACTAAAAGATAGGATAACAAATAAGTGCATTCGTAGTAAATTAGAGATTGCTTCAATAGAGAATAAAATGAGAGAGAATCGATTAAGGTGTATGGCCATGTACAATATAGACCTCTTAGTGCACAAGTTAAAAGAAGTGATAATATTATAGTTAATAGAGCAAAGAGAGCTAGAGGTAGACCTGGAAGAACTTGGTTGGAAGTAGTTAAAAAAATATGGTTATGGTTAGTTTAATAGAGGAGATTATCCATATAGAACGTAACGAAATAATATGATTCATGTAGCCGACCCCGAATACTTGGGATAAAAGCTTTGTTGTTGTTGTCCCACTTTTAAAGGGAGTATGATTATTCTTAGATGAATAAGTTTAATTTTTTTTCATGTGATTAGAAAAGTATTTTATATACCCTAACAAATCAAAGAAAGGAAACGAAGGAGAAAATGATAATCCATCATTATTATTGTTGTAATAAACACCCAAGAAAATGAAATAAAATAAGAACATGGTTTTATTGGCAAACAAATGCAGACATAAGTTAAATGATGGTTGTTGAATGGAGATATATGCATATGCGCACCCATAAGTATGTACCAAATATCACATTTCAAAATTAATCCTTCATTAAATTGTATTTTCATACCCAAAGTATGTAACTAGATTAGCACGAGTACACGAGGCTTTTATCATACTTGGATGAAGCCCAGGTCCCGAATCTTAATCAACTCATTTCGGTATGAAAAATGATATATAAACAAATGGTCACGAGATTTAGCCTCAACAATCATGGGCAATGCTAAGTGTTGTGCCTTGAGAACCCAAACCAATCGTCGAGAAAAAGATAAACCACAACCAAAATCAATAGCACAAACAATTAAACACCAGTTTTACGTGGTTCGGTAAGATGCCTACGTCCACGGGGCAAGGAGGGGAGAGTTTTCACTATTAGAAATCAAGAGGAACAAACTAGGGTTACAATCTCTCACCAAAACCCTCAACAACTCACTCTTAATCTCTCCAATTGCTCCTAGAATAGAAGCCCAAAGAAAACTCTCTCAATCAGCTCAAATTCGTCCTTGCTCTTAACCCTAAAAAACACCCAAAGGGTATTTATACAAATCCAAAACGAAACGGGTCTGGACGAAGATTCTACCAAACTGAGCCGACACCGATCAAACCAATGCCTCAACTGCTGCATCCAGTACGCCATGGCAACGGACTCATGACAACGGACTCCATCCACAGCACGTCGAGACCCAAACGGGAGTGCGAACACTCAACCCCAAAACAACTGTGTCTACTCACCAAATCGGCTACATCATAACTGACTGCCTACGTATTCTCTCCGAGGAATCAAGCCTTCACGTAGTTCACCCAATGGGCTCCAAAGGCCCTCAATCTAACCTGCGGCTGATAGCTTCATCAACGGCCCCAAACTGAAAACAGTCCAACATCTCCACCTGAGATGAAACAATGGCCGTATCCAAAACATATCCACCAGCTGCATCCAAATCAACTACCTCATCATCTGCACCCATAAATAAATGACTCTCACGCTGTGCCACCTCAGCTGGAATCCCAAATAATGCAGAATGACCTGGAGTATGTTGGGAAATCCCCACCCAATGTGGAGTAGCATCAACCTCCACCCGCTGCGATATCCCTCTGACCTGATCAATACTCTCCATCTACCGAGAGTCCAAAGTGACAAACCTGCTGAGCAAACTCAGAAGCTCCCCACTGATAGCCGAACGAGCCTGTGAATCCCAAATGCGCAATCGGATCCAATCTCACATCCACGATGTGACCAAGTGCTGGGTAGCCAAATATCCGACGCCAACCAAAAACTGAAGCAGCTCCACCAGATCTAACAACTCTATACGTAGCAGTCAGCAACCTCATAAGATGACCCAAACCTGTCGAAGCCTGAATACCAGATCCACTGCTTGATAACCAATGCCGATCCTCCTCCAGAAAAGAACGGCCCACTAAATCCGCCATCTCATCACGTCGCCCCACTGTCTCCTCTCCTCTGAAGTGTCTCCAACTGCCATGAGCTCGACACCAATGCAAGAAAGGACTCCTACTGGAACAAGTACGACTGGTAACCTTTCTGCCCATACACCTCCTTCAACTATTGCGAACTACTAGGGCTTTATACCAACGGGACTTGGTTGCAACCCAAATATGCCTAGTACAATCCCCAATATAGGAAACAAAATAACGATTACCTCCCGATGATGCCTCCTCAGAAAGCCCCCCAATGCCTAACTGAACACCTCCAATAAGACCCCTCGATCGATGGATAGAAGTGCTGAACTCCACCTCGGTCTTCTCGCTCATCCTAATGTGCTCACAGGACTTCAATCTGTAGGTCATAGCACTCCTCAACAATCTGTGCCAAACAATGCCACAGTCTAGCCAAAGAAGTCGTCAGCGCTCTATCAATCACCGTGCTCCCGAGCAGATAATACAAGTTACTCCTCCTGACGCCCTTAATCACAATCATGGACCCCGATGTGACCTTCAAGAGAGAATCCGCCAATGTCACCCTATAGCCTGATGCCTCCAATACCCCAAGTGAAATGATGTTCTTCCTCAGTTGAGGAACGAACCTCACATCATCTAACTCCCGGATCATCCCGTCACTCATCCGAATCTGAACGGTACCAATACCACTAATAGGGCATCTGTGATCATTACCCATGAGAACAATATCCCCTCTTTCCAACTCCTGAAAGCTGGAGAACCAATCCCTTCTAGGGCATATGTGGTAAGTAGCACCAGAATCCAACATCCACTCGGTGGAGTCGACAACATCAACTGACAGAAGAGCTGGGCACGAATATCCCGATGAATCTGAATCTAAAACATCGCCACTAGCCTTGGCAACATTCACCTCTGAAGCTTGAATAGCTTTCCCTTTATTCTTCACGGCTTGTAATTTTTGGGCATTCGGCTTTCCAATGTCCATCCTCTCTACAAAAGGCACACTGATTCCTACCAACTGCAGGCCAATGTCCATCCTCTCTACAAAAGGCACACTGATTCCTACCAACTGCAGGATGCCCCCTCTAGACTGCAACCTTCTTCCACGGTTTGGACTTCTAGCTCTTGCAACCAATGCCCCCGCAACCGGATCAATGGAAGTCTCCTTGTCCTTCTTTCGAAGTTGATAGTTCACAAGGGCTGTAGTGACCTCACTATACGAAAGAGATGCTTTCCCATTAATAAGGGTGAGGACGAAGGTCTCATATTCCTCATCGGGCAAGGAACTTAATAATAACAATGCCTTATCTTCATCTTCAACTATAACATCCACATTCGCCAAATCTGCAAGTAGCTTCGTGTAGTGGTTCATGTGATCACTAATGGATGTCCCCTTCTTCAATTGGAAGCGATAAAGCCTCCTCTTCAAATGCAAACGATTTTCGACGATTTGCCCTCTAGGACCTCCCAAATCTTCTTTGCCGAAGTTTCATTCATCACATCATATTTTAGATCTTGGGTAAGACAAGACCTAATCACACCACACGCCGTTCTATTCATTTTATTCCAAACCTTATCATCAATTTCGGCCGGTTTCCCGTCCAATTCCAACGTATCTTCCAAATTTTGCGCATTTAACGCATCCATGACTTCACATCGCCAAAGTCCAAAATTATTTGTGCCGTTGAACTTTTCCACATCTATTTTTATAGAATGTATATTTAAACTTTGGACGGCCTTCACACTAGAAGAATCCTCCACTTTTATCTTCGACCATAATCTCAAAGCACCTAATAAACAATTGCGGAACAAATAGGAAATAGATCCAACTTGAAAAAGATAGAAACTTTACCACAAAGATCCTACCTTTATCACCAATCGAAGCTCTAGATGAACTTCCCAACTGATCTACACCTCCAAAAAGCCCAAGCGTTGCCCGGAGCTCTGATACCAATTGTTGGGGAGAAACCCCTATGCGAAGATCCAACCAAATAGCCGAAAGAGATAAACCAACACACCAACAAGAGCACAAACACAATCAACACCAGATTTTACGTGGTTCGGCGAGATGCATACGTCCACGGGGCAAGGAGGGGGGAGTTTTCACTATTAGAAATCAAGAGGAACAAACTAGGGTTACAATCTCTCACCAAAACCCTCAACAACCCACTCTTAATCTCTCCAATTGCTCCTAGAATAGAAGCCCAAAGAAAACTCTCTCAATCTAGAGACTTCCGCGGTCGACCGCCACCAATCCCGATGCCCAGTAAGCCTCGTGCACGAACGCGGTCGACCGCCCCGGTCGACCGCCAAGCTGTCTGCTGCCAGAATCCACTTCTGAGCTCCATCTCTACACTAAGCACTACCGCACGGTTTCTAGATATGGACGGAAATCTTACCCAAAATAACAATTACCGTACAGGCACCTTGATTATATCACTGAAGAAAGTATAGCCGTAAAGTTTAGTATCCGCTATAAATCCATTTGATCTCAGTCTCAATAATTAGCAAAATCAAAACATACTGATACACCATTGTGAAAATGCGAGTTAAACAAAAATAGTATAATTTAAAGAACTGAGCAGATAATGGAAGAAATTGAGGAGAATACGGTGTATTTAAGCATGAGGGTATGATAGTTAACAGCTGACGATAAACGACTGCAAAAAAGAAATGCAACTTTACTACCGAGGCAGAAAAATCTCAGACATTTGTGAAGGCTCAGGTAGCTTCATTTTCATTTTGTCATAGATGGTGATAGACAAACAACTGTCGAAGAACAGTAATTTTCTTTTTCTTTTTTTTAACAAGATGGAGTCAGTTTTTTTTTTTTAAATACAAGAGGGTGAAATATATGATTCCAGAACTGATTTGAGCTGCAAACACAAATCATGATTTCAGAACTGATTTGAGCTGCATGCAAAGACAAGTCATGTACATATATCTCAAGATACAACAGTTCATGAGGCTGGTAATAGATCAACATTATGATGTCCGTAATGAAATGACATCATCATCATCCAGGTCGATCGATTTCCACCAAAGTAGGTCAAATTTGGAGCACAACTCAGAATCAAGGTTTCATATTTACACTTGTACAAGATCAGTATTAGCTTCACATCAATATCTCTGTGTCGAAATCAAATTCCTGACTAAGGGAACCTTGAGAAAGAGTTCAAGGATACCACAAGCCACCAACAGAAATGAACACCTACTCAGTTTCTCCATTTACATCCTTTATACACTGAATCCTGCAAGGAAGAAAAAGAGCAATTACAAAGACAGCAAAGAAAATTATGACCAGAATAAGAAAAATAGCTAGTAATTTTATTGACGACCAAATAAATGCAAAAAAGGCATGCAGGCTAAATACTAAGAGAACATGAAAGCAGGGTCATATTACTAACTTTTTCCAAACTGGAGACGCAAATTTTATTATGTTCCTAACAAATATGCATGCAGAGAAAAGTAGGTATCTTGTTTTCAAACAGAAGTCCCTCTTCCATGCATGCGTTAACCAGGAACTATTACTAGCTCGTAATGTTTAAAAAAGCTTTTTTGAAACTCGCTTCACAAATTTTTGAAGGTTAAACGCTTGGAAACTCCAGAGTGAAGCTATGTATCCCTTGAAGCTTACGTCTTAGCACTCTGAAGTGTGTGCTTCACGCTTCATAAAGCTCTTTTCTTTTGAATTGCACGCTTTAGACAAGATAGAAGAATATAAAAGAATTTTTGACTAACATTAAAATGCCCCTATGTATTTCCAATATGACCATGTGATTGTAAATAAAATATACACGTTATGCATGTAGCATAGTTTATTATGATTTGTTTTTATATTTCACATATTTAATTCTTATTTATTAATCAGGACATGAATGTAATTATTATACCACTATATGTTATATGCTCATAATTAATTTTTACAAATTTAAAATTAAAATTCTTAAACTTATGAAGTTTATGCCTCACCCTTCAAAGCTTATGCCTCACTTCATCAAAGGATCTAGCGCTTCGCCTTGCGCTTCCGCTTTTTTAAACATTGCTAGCTTGGAAAGAATAATAGCGTGTTGTCGGTCAAATACAAAAACTACGCTAGTTCTTTCAGGAACTCGCTTGACTTAAATCATTATATGCAATCAATCACATTTTCCTTGAATGTGGACAAAATGAAGATGTTCACTGTGATGGTATATTATATAAGAAATTAGATGACTAGTCCAAATTAGAAATGGACAAGCTTGCATTGCCTGAAAGCGGCTAACAAAACAACCAACAGATGCAGAGGACACAGTAAGCAAAATAATTAACCACGCAACCAACACTCATATGATGGGTGAGAGGGCGAGGGAGGAGGATACAGAGGGAGCTACTCATGTTGTTACGTTTATACATACACGAAACGGTTATTTTTCTCTAGATACTATGAGAATCCTTCACACTCAGTAAAACAAGAAACATACTTTATTTGACTAATTGGAAAGAAGGGAAAAAGAGAAAAAGACATTGCAAAAGGACAATGTAATGACCACTTTTGAACTGTAGTTTATATCAGACAGGAGATGTAGGGGGAGAGATACTATTAAGCCATTGCGGCTGATACAGGTATACGATCCCTAATAACTCACTTGGGGCTGCCTAATATTACTGCCTCTAATTGATTGAGGTTCTCTAGAGGCTGATTCGCCTGTCTATCTAGTTCAAGAAATGCAATTACTATCATTTCAAGTAATAAGTAAAGCCTTCGACCTAGAATCAGAAGAGCTGTATAGACAACGAGTTAAAAGATTGTAACAAGGTTTTTGGGGAGAAACTCTCTAAAGTGTGACCAACTAAGTACCTAGTGACTAGAGATATTAAATTGGTTCGAGTCCAAATGATTAGCAGGTAATGATATACCAACAGGAATGCAGCTTAAGCACAAATATCTCATAAGGTTGGTTTTCCTTAATATTTCATGAAAAGGATGAAGAAGAATTTCATAAATACATAATGAACATAAATATAGGCTAAATCATGTAATATTCTTGATTAATCCCATTTAAATAGTTATGATGTGAACAAATCTCTGCTATACAACATATTCATGTGGTAACATAAACGTACACGAAAATGTTAGTTCTCTCTAAACACTAAGATAAATCCTTCATGCTCATAAAACAAGAAATATTTAATTTGGCTGACTGGAAAGGAAAAACATGCCACAATATGGACAGTAGGACACCACAAGAGAAAATTTTAATCGCCAATTATTAACTGTAGTTTTATATGGGATGGGAGAAATAAGGGGTGAGATAATATAACCCAAGCCCTTGCCTTCCAATTAACTCGCTTAGGGTTTCTTTCTATTACTGCCCAGTCAATTCAGATTTCCTTGCTGATTGGTCAACCCATCCCATGGGAAGCAATAGCTTCATTTACGTAAAAACTAATGACCTATAACAAGGAGAGACATATAGATAATGAATTCATAAATATTTCTGTAAGTGTGAGCAAATCAAGCAAGGACCTAGAGACTAGAGACATTAAGCCGGTTCAAGAATGAAGATGACTAGTGTTCCAAATGATTAGTATGTGAAGAGATTGCGGAGGAACTGCAACTCAAGCACAAAATATCTCATAAGGTTGGTTTTCCTTGATATTTCATGCAGATGGTGACAAACCCTTCAAGGAAACATGAAGGACATACAATATAGGCTATAATACTCTCAATTAATCCACCTCCAACGAACTAAACATGCTGTTCGAACAGAAAAAAAAAGAAAAGAAAAAAAGAACTGTATTTTCCTCACGTAATCAGGTCTTATATATGTCATCCAAAGTAGAAGTCTAATGCAATTCTTGGATCTTAGATGTATAGAATGAGTTTCTTGAGGATTAAATGTTCTTGGATGTATAGAATGAGCTTCTTGAGGATTAAATGTGGCAACCGAACAGCATAGGGAGCAGAAATTGATCAAAAGAAGATGATATCACCCGCCCACTTGATATTACGTACTACGCTTAGGATGCATACATGCTTAAGCCCAGAAATGTGTTCGGCCTAATTCCAGTTACAATTGCAGTAGAAGAATTAGACTAAGATCTTTATTGTCATCGCTTGGCATTTCAATCAAATAAAAGTGCCAACAGCTAATCTACAAGTTACACAGTAAAATCAAACAAGAGTTTCACTACATTCAAAAGCATTATCCATCGAAACAAAGAAATCCAAGAACTGAGAAACGTTACCATCATCGTCATAGGAGACGCTCGTGAATTTCCTTCCAGAGCTCCTTCTCATCCTCCCTCAGCTTCAAAAACCTCGCATTGAAAGATTCTGCCTCATCTTTGTTCAGAGACTCGACGATCTCCTCAAATATCAGGTACCCAGCTCGCCTCTCCACTGCAATCCTCAACTCAGGATAATCATCAGAATCATAAAAACTATGCCCCTCGCCCTCCTCCTTGGTCGCAGGACTCGCTGGCCAAATCCTATCACAAAGTCGATAAACAATTTCCTTGTGACCCGTAGCCTGAGGTTTCTTGGAATCCGAAGCTTTGTCGTAACCCGCCTTCAAATGCCGGATCTTGTCCTGCAGCTGGCGAACGGTGGCCGCGAAGCTTATGGACGGGGCAATGGCGGAAAGCAGGGTTCGGATCGAGGGGGTGGCCTTGGGAATCTCGCCGCCGTTCTTCTTCTTGTGCTCGATGATGCCTTCCAGGATCTTGATCTCGTCTTCTCGCGTCCAGATGCCCGCGAAATTGGCCGTCGGCTTCTTCTTCTTTCTGTTGTTGTTCGATGTGGATTCTTGATTTGATCGGGGGATGATCTGGGAAGTCGAGGGGGCTGGATTCGGAGAGGTCGGAGCCCGCCTCCTCTCCCACATTCTTCCTCCTCCTTCCTCCTCTGGATCTGGTGTTGATCTAGGGCTAGGGTTTCGTCGATCTTGGGGATTTGGGGGCATGGGGGAGAGAGAGAGAGAGGGGGTACAGAGGAGAGGGCGGATCAAAATTCCACTCTAATAATTTCTTCAAGTGCTTCGAGTTCCCGCCCTCGCCGAGTTTCTCGCTTCATAGGTGAGGCGACGGAATGTAAAGAATCCCGACCTGCTGGTGTTATGTGCAAAATTATAATTATTAAAATTTGAAAGTGACATGAGGAGTTAGTTGACGATAAACTCACATTAGAATGGGTGGCACTAGAGGCACACCTTGTGCCACTCCTTGGGGGCACACCTCTCTCTCTCTCTCAGCTAGAGTGCATGAGGTATATTTGAGATTTATTTAAAAATTTCAAGTGGGCCCCCTGCACTGTAGCTGAAAGAGGGAGATGTGCCCCAATGTGTGCCTCTAGTGTTTTCCCATTAGTATTGCGCAACAGCATATAAACCCCTATAGTCTTATTGCTATATGGACTATAGGCTATTATTTTGCCCCAAAGTTCGCATGGGGCCACTTTCTGCTTCCTTTTGTATTCTGTAACTTGGGAAAACACACCACAACACCTACACTACACCACACGACACACAACACACACACACACAATATATATATATATTTATTATATATTATATTATATATATCATATATATATAGTATATATATTATATATTATATATATATATAATATGATAGTTTGTGTTCGGCCGATGCCGAATTTTTTTTTCCACAGCAACGTTGGCCGATAAAACGAAATAGTGCCATTCGATTACAGTGAACAAATGTTGGCTCCGGTTGCGATCTTTTCTCGTGACCGCCTATTTTCCGCTAGAGCGAGAGGTCGCAAGCAAGCAAGGAGCAGAAAAGCTTCATTTAATGAGGAAAGATGGAGCCGAGCCAGGCTCCGTAGCCCCCTCCCTCGCCTGTTGAGTTGATATATAAGTTAACTTTCAAAACTTGGCTTTGTAGGATCTCTTCTCTTT